GAACAACAAAGGTTAAATACTTATAATGACCAAAGGCATTTGAAATAAGTACTGTACAAATGTTTCTAAAAATCCTCAAACGATGCCCCCCCCCATACACACAATTGTATTATACCATGTGACAATATGATAGGAATGTCAACAATATTTTTTTGATATGTAAGTTTCGTTTTTATTGAGGTATATCGAGAAGTTTTATTCGCCGATCTGTTTTAGTAAATAGCTAAAAATGCTCGAACCATACACAGTTTTCATTTATCATTACCGCTAATTATCTATCGAATGGAAACTGGCCAGAATGTCAATCAAAACTTTCATTGTCCAATGGTTCTATGATTATGTTCTTGGAAAGAAAATCTCCATTTATGTACACTGATAACATTGAACATAAAACATTCATTTTACATTTTCACATTAATAACGTCATTGTAAAATCTGACTTTTCAGAATAAACATTATCTATCCTAAAGAACGTGGTTCGATTGTTTATTGTTTGATTATGAGCTAATAATGATGAACTTTGATCTGTCTTCTTAGTCGTCTGGTTTTGATATTTGTAGTACGTGGTGATAAAAATGTTAAGTAACATTATGATCGGTAGAAACAAACGAAATTGAATGAAATCTAGACAATGAATATCTAAACATTTCTTGTGATCTTTCTCTATGGATAGTTATCCCTATCTCTAATTACCAACTTTCGCATAACTCGCCCCTTACCGCTGTTGATTCCAATCCTGCTAAGGACGACTTCGGATTTCGTTTCATGTAAGGAAGTTATACACCTAGCTTATGGTAGGTCGGTGGTTCTACCTATAATTTCGTTTGTGTTTGTAAAAATGCACAAAGGGGCAGGCACCAAAGGTCTTCACCGAATAAACCTGTGACTTTTTATTCTGTCGGTTTGATTTACATTCTAACAAAGCAGAGACACAAACCTTGGTATTTCTTAACATGGCTACATACAGGGAATTGCCAGATGCTGTTCACTATGCATTACGTGCCAGATGATTTGTTTATCTAGTATGCTAACTATACCATTTGACTTTTTCTTGCATAGCAGACTGGCGTTTTCGTGAGTTTTACCCATGCCGGAAATTTCATCTGGCATGGGGGTGTCAGATCAGTCGTGTGCCATACAACAGCGTCATTTTAGAACATTTTATGAATGAACCACGTTAAAATGACGTCATTTTAGAAGGGAATTATGTGCTTAGGATGACGTGATTTCACCGTTGTTATTAAAGTTGTAAATTCATACGCTATTGTAAGAAGATAGTTATGGATGAAATTACTTTAATTTCCATGAACAAATATCTTATTGAGATAAACTATTTTTAACATCAAATAATGTGGCAGAATATGATCGAAAAATCTATCTGACATATGTTTGCGGTTCGGTTCGGAATATCCGTCCCTCGGCAACCCGCCCATGGGCGGTAACTCGACAAGCCTCGTTACCGTTACCGTCTTTGTTACCGTCCCCTCGGGACTGATATTCCGATCTGAACCGCACATATGACAGATATTATTAAGTTATCATATAGTATTTATTATTAATATTGCTTTTCCCCAAAGAGAAGAAAAGGTAAATGTTCTTATTGAATACAATTATAATAACTATTTCTTCAAATATCAAGTATGTTTCGATTTTATTCTAAGGCAATTATCCATCTATTTAAAGGTATGTCTGTGCTTATTTAAAATTTCTTCATGTACGCAGATTCATGTTTGCCGGATCGAAATTCACACCTAGGTAGCAATATAGGAGACATGTGTAGGATCGCTAGCGTCTTATTCAAATGGTCCTTTCTGAAGTTGATTTGTTTAGTTTGCACAACTCTTCGCGTTGGATGGAATTGGGCCAAAGCATCTTGAGGAATCTCGAAATGATATTTGAAAGACTTTGAATTCCTTGCATTTATATAAGGGGTATTCCCTCACGTTGGCCAATTGGAAAGAAATATATTTAGGCGAAAGAAATTGTTTCGTTTTGATCATGTAAATATTTAATTTTCTAGTCAGCAAGTATATTCAGCCTCGCGATTTCCCTGTTACCATTTAAATTATTTGTCTCATCACACAGTAAATGCATGTATTAGAAAATCAGAGGTTAACGATTATAAATAAACTTGAATTTTTCAATGAATGGTGCGTGATTTGTTCTTAAAAACGATTTGTTCAATTTTGAAGATTTATTCTTAATTTGATAATTATGCTAATTCCAAGTTCCATGACATTGCTTCGATGATTACCTTGATGTTCAGAACAATTATTTAATAACCTACTAAACTGAAATATGATGACTATAAAATTTGTTTAATATGTATATAAATAGGCAATATAGTGTTAAATTATATAATGATAACATAATATCACAGAACATTTTATTTGAATCTTTGAGAAAAAAAAATTCTGTTGTATCTAAACTAAGAATATAAATGACTCATATCCGTATAATATATATAATTGGTAAAATCCTATTGAATCAAATTATATGATGCGTATTATTGAGCGAATATGCGGGTGTATGTGTGCATATATTAATAATATATGGTTTATTTATATCGTAGACAAATGTTTTAACAGAGGGTTTAAACCGCACGAGCCCGGATGGATAAAGCCCAAGGGGCTTTTAAAGTGTCTATACACGGATTAAAGGTAAATAAGCGTTATTCTGATACGGTAATGTTTCGTTGCGTTTTTTTTACTCCCGCGAGTGGTCTCATTTAGCAGTGAATGTATTTGGGTCAGTATTAGGTCATGCGGCAGTATGATTTGCATATACTAAAGCTTGCAATAATGTCAAAACTTTGAAAGTTAAAATACAATGTCAGCAGACACATTCTAGGCTAATGGCAATGCAAAAACAAAGGCAGAATTTACGATATACACAGCCTGTACCTTAATTCGTTTAGGCACAAATTCTGAAACAGATTATTTAACTAATTATTTTAAACGTAATATCCAGGTTCAAGTCTTGTAACTTATGTTTGTCAATGTTTAACTCGAAGTTCAGGAATACAATTGGTGAAAGATCTCTTCTAAAAATAAAAAGTATTAGTCTCACATCACACATATAGTAATATAGTAACCAAACAAATTAAGTAATGAAATACAATTTGTCGTTGAAGATAAGGTACAAGTACATGTACATCACACAGATAGCTTGACTGTGACATATATTCTTTGCATGCATACATAAAAGGGAAAGGAATGTCTTTTCCATATGTCATATACGTGTGCCTGTTTGAAACAGATCTTAAAAAGAAATAAATAAATTCACCATTTTATCCTTCATTAGAAAACGTTTATGAGACGCGATAATTAGACTTTCATTAGGAATAAGAATAACCAGAGAGTCACATTTGTTTATAATTTATAATTATTTTAAACCTTTTGTGCAGTATAAAAGATTGAAGGTTTATATATTGACAAAAATATAAGTCATATAAACTGCTGTGTACATGATTAGAATGTAACAAGATAAGATACGAAGAAATACATACGGCATAGTACTTATATTAAAGCAAAGCAATGGATTATTTTATCGGTTCACTATCCTTTCATCCAAATTTAACATACAAACAAGAAAAAGGATATTGTTGGTTTATGTCTCAATCTCAATCACCTACTTAAACTGCAGTCCTATTACTCTTTAAACAACCATCGTATTACATTTGAAAAAAAGGACTGTATAGTAATTATCAATATCAATATTCTCAAACATCAAATTTAAGTTATAATATATCTTTACACCAAGTAATATATTTCAAAGTAGATTTAAGGCTTGGAAAAAATGTTCTCTTGAATGTTTGTTTGTTTGTTTTGTTTTTCTTTATTTGCTTATTTAAAAATGATAATTGCAGTTACTGTACGCAATGTAAGAAATCGAAATCCGACGGCCCCATTTTAAAGCATTAATGATGCATTTATATTATGTGAGACTTATAACCTGTTACAATTTGTAATTTCTGCGATATAATAAATTTTTTTTGTAATAAATGTTGAACAAACAGATTTATAGATTCCTGTGCAAGATCAAGTCATCTTTTTACTTTTAGATATACAGGTATTAAACAGGTATTTCCTTATAATTATTATTTTGAAAGATCATTGATTGAAGATTACAAAATTGTATAACCTTTGATATTTTTTTTTGAATTGATGTCTCAAGTATTTAAACTTTTATTTATCGCTATACATGGTCGTTATATTCGTCATATCTCATATTACCAATCATCATATTACCAATTATCATATTACCAATTATCATATTACCAATTATCATATATTACCAATTATCATATTACCAATTATCATATTACCAATTCATCATATTACCAATTATCATATTACCAATTATCATATTACCAATCATCATATTACCAAATCATATTATCATATTACCAATCATCATATATTACCAATTATCATATTACCAATCATTCAATGTTTGTTCTTCTTCACTGCCAAATATACAGTGTGCTTCTATATTCTTTGGAATATATTTATTATATTATTATATTTTATTATATTATATTTATAATATTAAAATATTTATTCATTGATTAAATGTTTATATTGCTTGATTTTAGAGTACATATATTTTATATTAATATAGCAATACGCGACACATACACACTATAAAGACTGAAGTGTATTGTTTATCAAGAATTATTTGAATACAAATACACCTGTGATTTGCCTAAATAAAATAATTGGAGGCTTCGGAATTTTCACATCCGTTTTCAAGTTCGTTTACTAAAATCATTTGAAACCCAAGCTAGTTAATAAAACACACACACATACATTGAATCAAAGATATTTGTCTCTCACCGTTGATCCAGAAATTGGTGAGACTAGTAGTCGGTCATTTGAGGAGACATATGTAATTACTGGTTAGTTATCCAGGAAAAGCGGCTAAGCAGATCAATCGCCGAAATGTGACCAAACAACTGTGTTATAAAACTGGTAGAAAATCTGACAAAGAAAAACCAATCATCTTCAATTTACCTTGATAATTTGGAAATTGGGTAAAATCCTGTAAACGTTTAAGCAATAAGAATTCCAGAAAATGTGTTGTAAAGGTCATTTTCAACACGAATTAAATCGTAAACACGCGAGGTACCCTGAGTAGCATATGCTGCCTCGCCTTGTTGTAAGGGAGTCAACATATCTACAGTTTGACACGAGAGGTGATGCGGGTAGAAACGCGCCCAACTATATAAATTCCCGTCTCTGCGAATTGCCAAGTCAATATCATATCCTACAAGACAGAGCTGTAATACGAAATAGTAAGTTCCAGTAACTGGAGCAATAAAAACACCCGTGTAGTTATCATAGGCATTGCCGTTGTTTTCAGGTATGTTTGTAAATATGAATTTTGCACCACCTTCTTGTTTTGTCATCGAAGGATCTTTAGATCGAAAGAAAACGCCTTTGGATTTCCACGAACCTAATGTAAAAGAAATATAGTAAATATTAGGACGCAGTTTTATATTGTATACATTTTTACATGACATATTAATGAACTTGGATAGCAAAAAAAAAAAAAAAAAAAACAACAAAAAACAACACACATATGGAAATTCCACTGAGTTAAAATACCACATGTCTTCATATGACTCCAGCACTGAAAACGTTCAGGAAGCGGACTCTAGGATGTTTCAAATAAGCATCAAGCTTTCTACATAACCGAGTTTTAAAATATATATGTTGCTTAAACCGGATCTAATTATAAGATAGTTGCTGTTAATCGTCTAAAATATTATTGGAATAAACTTTGAAGAATATTTTTAATCTCAACACATAATAGTAAAACCTACCATGATTAATGTCTCCGTTCAGCACTTTATATTTATGAACTTTTAGTCTAATATCCGTTCTGTCATCTTTTAGTTTATGAATCATTCCCCCAACCTCTCTCTCTGCTTCTTTCAAAACTTTATTTTCCTTTGGTGGAATTTTTCTCTTTAGTCCAAAGTAATGTTGCAGCCAGTCGAATTCTTTACTTTTCAAATCTTGGAGATTTTTTTCCACTTTATTTCTCACTTTGATCATTTCTTGCTTCACTGTCTTTGCTAAATATTCAAGTTGTGTCACTGTGCCTATAAAATCCTCCTCTTGATTCGCAAAGGAACAGTCACAGACACATAATACAAGCAAAAGTGTCACGCAATACATCATTTTTAATTTGTGGACGGGCACATTGTCTAAACAAATTCATATATTTTGACTAGTAAATATTCAGATCTAAAAACGTCTTTCTTTTTCAAGTTGTAAATGTACTGTTATTTGCCTATTTTTGTTTTGGTTTTTGGGAACATTAAAACATAACATAACACAATGTATCTATTACATGTCAAGTGTAAAGTAGTCGCAATATGGTAACAAAAATAAGCAGAGCTGAATAAATAATACCTACTTTGTAAATGTATACGGATCGCTCTTAAACAATTGTCGACAAATCTTTAAAAATAAGTTCTTCTTCTTAATGTCATAAGTTTTGCTTGCGGTTTTAAATTTTTTATTTAATATCAATTTGAGTTTCAGCTAATGTTAAACCAAACAAGTTGTCTTTATTTTTTAACCTTTAAAACTTTTAATGACCATAATAATGTTTAAAAAAGAATATTAGAATAAGAAATCTCATGAAAACAGGAGACGTTTCCATATTAAGTAATGTATTTCAACTGCTACTTGACAAGATCACTGTAAACTAACAGAAATTATTTACTTTAAATCATCAATGCTATGTAAAACGTATAGATTGAAAATATATCAAACATGCAGTATAAGCTTATGGGTGATGATTTCTATAAATGGTTTATCATTGTTACTCGAACAGTTCATCTCAAATTAATACAATCTAATGTGACATCAAATAAAAAAAATTGATAATATCTCCTCACTTTTTGTGTAATGTTAATTTCCCACAGGCTACTGAAAGTTATTAATAATATTATCATTGTTAATGCAAGTGTATCAAGTGACTAAGAAATTTGTACTGCTACATGGTAACAGTAGTTTTTAACATTATAAGATCTTGTCACATGGTCTATTTCCTTAGGAAAGAATATAAAATCACCATTAAATGATAATAATAAAATAAATAACACATGGGTTTGTGAGTAACAGTAAAAATATCATCCCTCGTAAAAATACTGTTACCTCGGGTAACAGTAAATTTATCATCCCGAGGAAAATACTGTATTTTCCTCGGGATGATATTTTTACTGTTACCTACAAACCTATATGTTATTTATATACTGCTATTAATTTATAATGATAGAGTATGCCTCCAGATTCATGCTAATTTTCATGAAAATTTTGAAAATGTATTTAAAAGTAAAATACTATGAAGTATACAAAGATAATAATTTACACAATGCAAACGGCCCTTACAATCCACATAAATTACCAAAAAGAGGTCAAAATATACATAAATACCTCTTACTGCGTTAGTAAAACAGTAGAATGCTATTGATTGATACTGCAAAATCAGTCATAAATCGCACATTACATGTAAATATTTAATTAAATATTGAATCTTTTTACTTTTCTTATGTTCTAAAATATTTTCTAAAGATTGAATTACTTGAATATTTTGGCTCATTTGTAGGCGTGCAGCTTTAAACGTTTAAGAATCCTACATGTACAATATTAACGTATATCAAATTACATAGACATTCTATGTTATAAGTCTTTTTCAGACGTAAATGTTATGAAAACAGTTTAATTTACTGTTTTTTTTTATAGTTCATCACTGTTTTTAGATTTTTATAGTTCATCAGATATAGCTTTATACACATTCATTCAATGGTTAGCTGTTATCAAATCAAGAAACAATGTGAATCTAGTTTCAAAATACATGTCTATTTACCATAGATAGCAGTTTAGAACAAATACTACAAATTTTACTACAGCAACTGAACAAACTCAGTGAAAAATTATAGCACATCATTTCTGATGATGGGGCAATCATGGGAATCGATACAAAATACAAATTCATTATTATTATTGTACAAAGAATACAATCATCAAATTGTGCTGTTTTAGGTGACTGCGCTCGGTATCCACTATATGTTACAACTTACAAAAGAGCTATAAGATATTGGTTGAAAATTATAAAGATGCCTAACGAAAGAAATGTAAAAAAAAATGTTATATAATGATGCTAAATGATGTCTCAAATGGTTATGTCAACTGGGTTACATCAGTGAAAAACTGTTTAGAAAGATACGGATTTGGTTTTGTGTGGCTTAACCAAGGTGTACAAAATGAAAAAAAATGTATTTTTAATTTTTCTTGTAAATAGAGTGAAAGATATAAGCCTTCAAGAGTGTAATATGAATGTTGACGATAATTCTAAGTTAGAAATTGTTTCAAAATGGTTCTCTACGTTAGTGGATCTCGTATATTTGTATATCGCAAATGATGTCACGTAAAAATATATGCACGGTCGAACAATACCATTTTTATGGAGTTGTAAAAGCGGCAGGGGTATGTGATAAATGATATTAAGTAGCTAAAGTATCTCTTAATGTAACAATTTATAAACTGTCATTGCAAAAAAAAAAAAAAAAAATAACCATATGTGATACGTACCGTACCATGGTTCATATGACTTTTATTTCTTTTTATTTGTCATAGATATTTTAGCAAACAGGTGTTCTTTTATATTCGGTTTCAATTGATGAGAGTCTACCATGAAATCAAGCTTTCTTTTTAAAACATAATATGCTTAAAGTATTACATTTTATATACTGTGTAGTGAAAATAATTTTAAGTATATTTTCATTTTCTCTACTCTATATCTGATATTTATTTTATACATTGTCGCCAAATTTACATCTGTGTTTTTAAGCAATATCTATTGAGAATGGATATCATGAAGATTTTAGCATTGTTGTTGTTTTATTGTCACTGCATTAGAATGGAAGATCACCATGATGATCTTGAAGATCGGATACTTAATGTCCAGCGTCGAATAAATGCACTGTAAGAGGACTTACAGGCTATAGAGTCTAATGCTGAAATGACAGAGACTGACTTAGATGAAAACAAAAACTCTGGAGCAGATGTTTACCAACTTAAACAACATATTTGAAGAAATCCAGTTTCAAGATATAAAAGATAGATTTAGTAAGCATTATTTGAAAAGAGAGCGAAGAAAGCTTTTTAAACTGCTGCAAGAGCCAAATGAAATTGAAAGTTGGAGAACAAGAAGGTAACAAAAAGCAACAAGACCAAAAAGATACGATGACGGATCAAATGACAGAAGATGTTGATCAAGATTTAAACTCAGCTTTGAAATTTAAAGGTATACACGTATATTCATAATTACTTTTACAAGTCGTTTGTTGTGTCTGTGTGTGCGCGTGCGTGCGTGCGTGCGTTTGTGTGTTTCTATTTATAGAGATAGAGACAGACTTTACTTTCACCTTCAGGAAAGGATACACATAAAAGTTTAAACAGAAAATATCTTTACTGTAACTGTAAGCCAATGTTTCCGATTTTGTTTTTGTTTATTGATTTGTAAATAGCCATCATTTCTTATTTTGCTTTATTTTAATGTGTTGAAAAGCAGATTTGTCAGTGAGTTATATAATATTAAAACAGAATCTTTAAAGAAAGCCTAACACGGCAAAATTGTAAAATGTTGCAGGCTCGGTTTGATTAATAATAATAATAATAATAATAATAATAATAATAATAATAATAATAATAATGATAATAATATCTTTATTTAAAGAAGGTTACACATGAAGAACATACAATAACAATCATATATATCTTATTTCCAATGTGGCCTTCTGAAATAGAAAACAACAACAACAACAACAACAACAGGACATGCATAGGTAGAAAAATGAATGTATAATATGTACTTTTTAGAATAATACAACTCAAATACTTTCGACAGACACTCAACAATTTGTTTAAACATATACCTTATGCATCATTCGTTCGTTCGTTCGTTCATTCGTTCGTATATTTATTAATTATTTAATGCATTCATTCATTCATTCACTCACTCACTCACTCACTCATTCAATTATATGGCTTTGTATTTTTAAAACATTTAAGGTTATTAACATTACGAATTTTTAAAGGTATATTGTTCCAAATGTGCATGCCAGAATAAGAAAATGTGTCTTTAATATAATTTGTTTTAGGTCATGTCCATAATACAATATCTTTTCGTGACCTAAATCTTAAGTTATATATTTTGTTGTCGGAAAAAGTCATCAGTTCTGTCATATAAGCCGGTGCCATGTTATTTAAAGTTTTAAAAACAAGCACCGCAGTGTGGTATTTACATCTGTCAAGGAACGGTAACCAGTTAAGAGCTTCGAATAGATTTATTGACGGAGATCTTTGTGGTTGCTGTAAAATGATTTTAGCAATTCGTTTTTGTAATTTACAAACATTATTTATGTAGTTTGTGTTTCCTTTACCCCATATAATACAACAATAGTCCATAATGGGCAATATATATGCATTGTAAAACAATAATTTCATATCAAAGTGCAAAAAATACGATAAGGCAATTTTTCCGTTAAGTTTTTTACAAACACTGTCAATTTGCAAGTGCCATTTTAAGTTGTTATCTATGCAAATACCCAAGACTTTTTGATCAGTTACATTTTCAAGAGCTATTTCATTTATCTTAAGATACAATTTACTTTTTGTGTTGTTCCTATTACCATACATTTTGATTTATCTGGATTTAAGGCCATATTATTTATTTTGCACCATTTGTCAATGTTATTTAAATGATCTTGAAGTTTTATTTCTACTTTTGATATATTTTCTCCGGACTCATAAAGAGTAGAATCGTCTGCGTATAAATCAATTTTTATATCATTACCAATGAAAACTATGTCATTTATGTATATTAGAAATAATAAAGGTCCTAATATTGAGCCTTGTGGAACACCGGAAATTATTTTCATTGTCTTAGATTGAAGATTACCTATCTTAACCAGTTGTATTCTGTTAGAAAGATATGACTTAAAAATCTTAACGGCATTTTCAGAAAAAATGATTAAGTTTAAGTTTATGCAAAAGTATCAACATCTTTTAACCAAGTATCTATTAAACTAATGAGTGCAGTATTACATGAATGACTTTTACGAAATCCTGATTGTTTATTATGAATTATGTTCGTTTTTTCAAAGAATGAGTGTATTTGTTTGGCAATATGGCGCTCAAATATTTTGGATATAGTTGACAAAATTGATATCGGTCGATAGTTATTTGCTTCATTCTTATCCCTCGATTTAAAAATAGGTATAACTCGAGCTCTTTTTAAATCATCTGGGAAAATAT